TTGCTCTGCAGGCTCTGAGAGACAAGTGCCAAGAAAAACCTGCTATCGCCTATAGCCATTCATGCACCATAAATCGATTTTGAAAGTCAAATAAATTTTTTTTTTGTCAGTCACTAACCATCCCCTGTACTAACAAGTGAGTTGAATGTAAAAGCACAAGTGCATAGCAGTAGCCCTACTTCTATGTTCTACAATTTGAAGGATGGGAAAGAAAAAATCCTTCCCTGTGACAAACTTTCAAGTTAAATTCAGCAGATTTACTTCTCTCTCTCTCGTACATGCACACATACACACGCACAAATGTGCTTATGAGAAGCAGATGCTGTGATGGTTTTGTTCTTGAAAGAGGAGGCGAGTGCTTGCTCGCAATGTTGCAGTTATGGAGAATTGATGGCAGTGAGAAAGAAGGAGACATGTTAGAACTGCTCGTGTTTCCACAGATAGGAAAAAAAGGCTCTTAAAATCAGGTCACAGAGAAGTTATGTGTCTTAACGCATTACTAAAGGAATTGTTTCATTCTTTACATGTGTGGCGAGTTCTGATGTTGTCCCAAGAACGTGGGTGATTCATTTTGTGAGGACTTATAAAACGTGCTGTACTCTGTCACTATTTCTGGGAGAACATAGGGAAATTATTGTTTTATTTCAAGAAAATCTGCATACTAAACTCCTTAAAGTTGTCAAGGATATGATTTTATTCCTATTAATGTTGTGAAATCTGCTGTCAATTTTTGTGTCTTCATTTGAAGACTGGGAAGGTTCAAGCTGTCCACCAGTTTTTGAAAAGCAGATACCAGTTTGTTTCAACTGGAAGTTTCCATCCCAACAAGATGATGGAACAGTGCAGCTACTGACTGCCCAGCAGATTTGATTTCTGGAGAGCTGAATAAGCTACACTTGGCAATAGTAAAATGCACTTTGTTCCGATTCCTCTCCTCACCAGACACACAAATTCAGCCATCAGTTTACCTGGTACCTCTTTCATAGTGTGAAGATCTTCAGTGAATGGCAATTTCCTCTCTACCTTCCTTCCATCTACCTCTGCCTCAAAAGACACTTTCAAGGATGAATCTCTCATCACGGCTTTCAGAGCGCGCAGAGGTCGCGGGAGGGGAGTGTCCCATTTCCCCCCACCTGCACTTAGGATTGACTTGCCTGTACCCGGCCTTCCTGCTTCCAGGCTACTGTGTATGGCTTGTGCTCCTCCTTCCACAATTCCATATCTGTATGTACATATATGTACACATACATGTGTAGCTATACCCAGTTTCCTCCATTCCAGCCTCATGCTTCTAATGCACGTCCTTTGGAAATGAAGTGAATGATGTCACTAAATCTCATGAGAATGAGAAAATGTAGGCATTTTATTGCATTCTCTGTTAACTCAGGAGTGAATGGAATTTTTCCATGCTTGTAAAATACAAAACCAAACAACAAAAACCCAACAACAAAAAAACCCTCACCTTTTGAAATGCCTAATTTATTGTATCTATAAGGATGACCGTGGGGTCAGCAAAGTTATGTAGAGAGGTGCAATATATTGCCTTTCAGCAGACAAGCATATAATTTTGAATATGATTCTTTTAATTAATTTCAGGTACGAGCTTTTTCTCTGTATTAATGGACCAGCAACATCTATTTCTTATAAATGATTTAGAAATATATATATTTTAAAAGTTGATTTCTTGGCTTTAGTATGTCAGCCTTTGAGCTTTTAAAGGGTATTTGGAAGATAAATATTGTTTGTATGTGGATTTTTTAAAAAAGTTGATGCATGTTGTTTGGAACTGAAATATCATGTAAAGCAGACAGATATATAAAAGTAAATACTGCTTTTACATATTAGCCCTATGGGCACAATCTGACAGTTGTGATGCAGGAAGGCGTCCCTTTAAAGACTGAGGGACTCTTGCCTAAGGAAGATCAAAATCCAGTCCCTGTGACAGGAGAGGCAGGAGCAGTCTTGCAAAGGTTGATCTGGTAGAGCTGTGAGCAGAGATGATCCTCTCCAGCATTATATGCAGATGGTTGGGCAGCCAGTGCTCAGCACATTAAAATTAAAAATTAAAAATTAAAATTAGACTATGTCGGCAGGTTTATCCTTGCCTTATCTTATGGGGTGAACTGATTGCCAAGGGCAATTAGAGCTGTCCCTGGAAACTTGTGTTTTAGCTGCCCTTGGTCTGCACAGTGTCCACAACCCTCTGCCTGTTCTTGCTCTCCAGTCTACCCATGGCACCATGGTAGGACCTGTGAAAACTGGGCTGGAATTCCCTGTGAAATGCAGGATGTTTTTAGCTCCCAGTAAAGATAGTTTAGGGATGGTGGGTAATTAAAATATTGCAGTTATCTCTTGCTCCTGCTCAAAGGCTCAGACTTTCAAGATGGATCAGCTGTGCATCATTGATGATGGCCGTTTGCGTACAAGAGCCCAAATACTGCTTCTTCTCTGCAGTGTCTTTGGAAATCCTCAGTGACCTTGAGATCATTTGGGCTAGCCTCTAATGCCTAAATTGCAGTCCAGTGTTGGCTGGTGCTGCATAATGGCCTGGGGTCTGGTCCAACATTGGTGAACATCAACTGGAATCAGCATTGATTCCAGTGAGCTTGGGCTCAGGTAACTAGTACATATA